GTGGCGCAGTGGGTAGCACTGGTTCCCCCACAAGTCCAAAAACATGTGGTATAGGTGAATTTGGTAGGCTAAATTGTCAGTAGTGTATGCGTCTAAATGATGTGTATGGATGTTACCCAGTGATGGGTTGCAGCTGGAAGAGCATCCTTTGCATAAAACATGTGCTAAATAAGCTGTCAGTTCAGTCCTGATTGATAAAGGGACTAAGCCGAAAAGAAAATGAATAAATGAATGAATGAATGAATGTGTTACAGAAAATCTGATACAGTATATGGCAATGTTTTTTTTTTCCAATATCATGCAGCCCTAGTGTGTGTGTGACATACTAATACACAAATTTGTATAATGACACAGCTCTTACAAAAAAAGGTGACTTATGAAGACATTGTTCATGTCTTTATCTAATCGAAATAATTTGATGAAGTCAAAATGCAAACTGTTTTATGTAAGGGGGTAGGGTTGGGTGTGGGGCAATAATAGGGAGTTTGGACAATATAAAAAAAAACTATGAAAACCTATAGAACGTCCCCACAACTCACATAAAACAAATGTTTGTGTTACAACAAAAATGTGGTTTTGGACTGATGTTAATAATTATTTTAATGATTGTAAATACTCAAAAATTATCATAAATTGTAAATCCATTATGTGTAAATTATGAATAATTATGCAAGTCATTAATGGAATGGATGTCAGTTGAGATCTATATGTGTGTTAGTGTGTGTTTACCTGAATGCAATGACACTACCAGGTGTGAGCTTTTCGAACAAAATCTCCTCAACAAACTCGCTGCGCCCTTTTGTGGTGGCATCACCCTGCTTTACAATTTGACTCTCCTTTAGCTGCAAACCAAAACACGTTTTATATTAAAGCTGCGTCAGAAGGAACAAACACACATACAGCACTTAATTAACTAGACTAACAACTGAACTATTAAAAGGAGCATACCAATGTATAGAGCGTGCCAACAACTATACCCACAATTAACACAGAACAGGTTTTTAAACCAAGTCTGTTAGCCTTTTTGTTCAGTCTATGGCCAGTGATGCAGAAATAAATGTGATCCTGACACTCCTCCTGTTCATGTGACATTGCAGCTGCTCTCAGCACTAGAGTCATGTTACCTGGATGTGTTCACGGATCTCGACTGTGTAGTTCGGCAGGCCATTAATGAACGTCTCATCTTTCACATATGACTCAGCGCTTCTCTCCACTGTGCGTGCCTCTAAAATCACCTCCTCGATTTTACCTGTGCAATGAGACGGCCAATGTGAAACTGGTTTCACTCAAAAAGTGTTTGAGTCATTAATCATTCTGTCTGAGTCATACTTGTGTGACACTTGAAGATACACTTAAATAAAAAAACTGCATAAGACAGACAGGATTTATTTCAACAATGTAGTTTGAAAACAAAGAGTGTTAGGTCTTTGTTTATTGTGTTTTGTTCTCAGAGGTCCTCCTATAAAAACTTGTACACTATATTGGGGGAAGTTACTTAAAAGTAAAATATTACAATCTTGCGATACTTAACATGCTAAATGATAGATATATATATATATATATATATATATATAATCAATTATTAAAACAGTAAACCAGAAGTTTACATACACTCTAAAAAAAGGAACATAACCATCTTTTAAAAAATGTCTGATGGTAAATCGTACTAAACATTTACTACTTTAGGTCCGTTAGGATTACCTAAATGATTTTCATTTGCTAAATGCCAGAATAATGAGAGAATTTTTCATTAATTTCTAGACAGTCAAAAGTTTACACACATTTCCTTGGCATTTTTTTTTATGCTTTGCTTTTAAACTGTATAACTTTGGTCAAATGGTTTGTGTATCGTTCCACAAGCTTCTCACAATAGTTTGCAGGAATTTAGGCCCATTCCTTCTTACAGAACTGTTGTACCTGAGTCAGATTTGTTGGCTGTCTTGCTCGCACAGGCTTTTTCAACTCTGCCAACAAATTTTCTATAGGGTTGAGATCAGGGCTTTGTGATGGCCACTTCAAAACATTCACTCTGTTGTCCTTAAAGCACATTTGAACTAGTTTGGCAGTATGCTTAGGGTCATGGTCTGTTTAGAAGACCCATTTGTGGCCAAGCTTTAATTTCCAGGCTGATGTCTTGAGATGTTGCTGCAGTATTTCTACATAATGATCTTTCTTCATGATGCCATCTATGCTGGGAAGTGGACCAGTCCCTCCTGCAGCAAAACAGCTCCACAACATGATGCTGCCGCCACCATACTTCAAAGTTAGGATGGTGTTTCTAAGCTTGTAAGCTTTCTTCTTTGTCCTCCAAATGTAACACTGGTTATTATAGCCAAACAGTTCAATCTTAGTTCCATCAGACCACAGGATGTGTCTCCAAAAATTATTCTTTTTCCCAGTGTAATTTAGCAATTTGTAATCTGGCTGTTTTGTTGATTCAGGTTAGTTGATTTTCCCATGTTGTCACAAAAGGAAGCAGTTTGTTTAAGGTTTCCTTAAATACTATTTTACAGTGTGCCTCCAATTAACTCAAATGTTGTCAATTAGCCAATCAAAAACTCAAAAAAACCTTGACACCATCATCTGAGCTTTTTCAGAGGCATATTAATCTTATTGTATGTAAACTTGACAATTTCTCAAAAAATATCTTTTTATTATTGTTCTGCTATTAAGCGTAAAAGAAACAAATTTGATAATCCTAACTTACCTAAAAGAGAGAAAGTTTAGTCACATTAACATCTGACTTTTTAAAAATGTTTATGTGCCTTTTTAGACAGTGTATGTAAACTTCTTGTTTCAACTGTACATACCCCAATATACATTTCCGAACAGTGCAAAATACTTCCCCAAAGGTATTTTGTTTTTGCGTTTATGTTTTTGCGAATCCACCAGGGGCAGCTATGTACGCTTTTTCAGATCTCAAATTTTTCTCATGAGTGCCATTCGCACCTGCTGTTCTCACATAGCTCCACGAGAGGCCGCTGTTGACTGACTGACTGACTGACTGACCAATAACTCCACCCACCCCCATCTCTTAACCCAACTGATAGTGTTTTCAAAAGCACTGATCGACCCGATCATCCCCTTCTTAACACCCAATCCACAGTGTTTTCAAAATAGAGTTTAGATTCTCTGTCCGAGCCCGCAGGCCAGTTACCTATCTACCTTTATATATAAATGCACTTTTTATTTTTACTTTTCATCTGCACCAAGGGCCGCAGCAACTTCCTGCATGTGCGGTGTGAAACAGGCGTGAATTAACTGATTCAGAGGTTCACAAGCAGCCATTTTTTTATTTATTTCAATGTGGTATCAATCCAAAAAAAATAAGTGAACGCATAATTCTCTCGAACAGCTCTTGCAATTACACTATATCACACTTAAGATCGGATCTTTGATGCTACTTTCACTTTAATAAAAAAGATATGGAAAAATGCTTAAATGGGATGACAGCAGGATAGAATGGTAAAAAATGTGAGAACACTGGCAAAAACAGGAAGGTATGCAGAAAAGACACAAGGTATGACACAAGGTGTACAGGCTTGGGTAAGGTTTGGTTAAATTTTTTGGGCTCGATTTAAGCTCTATTTCAAAGGTAATCCAGAAAAAGAAAAGCCCTCGCGGACACCTGATCTTTACCACATTTTCAAATCTAACCACATTCTCACCCTGTTATTTATTAGATCCTTTTTTTTGCCTGTAGTTTTTGTTTTATCTGCTTTCTGGAACCGTTTTCACCAGACTCAAACCCTGTCATCACGGTCAACTCCTCTCTGCGTCTCAAGGCCACTGACATACATGGCGAGCCACTGGGCACACTGGTAACAGTGTAAACGCTGTCGACACGGAGGTAAGCAGTCAGCTGGTAGCGCAAGAAGAAACAGAAGCTGTCAGCTGTGTCATACTACCCCGTAGAGTTAGTTTTAAAGATGAAACGCAGCCATACATAGCTTTGGCTACATAATTTGCACTTTTCAGAAATATATATGGGATATATATGGGCGTACATTATTCCAATGAGCCTGTGTTGAATGTACTGTTAGGCCCTTTTACACCAAAACCGAAATGTGAAGTTCAGGCCAAAAGAAATTCATCTCTTCACAGTTTCAGCTGCAGTCTTAGAAATTAAAAAGTAATGCATTACTGGTACTGGTTACTTGAAAAACGAATATGATTACAAAACTTGTGTAACAGCACTTGTAATGCGTTACTCCAAACACTATACGATGAAAAAAACAATCCTAATATAAAAGTTATGTTTTATTTTTTGATCTTCTGGTTGTCCTTTACCAGAACACATGGTTTATTTAGCCGTGGTGGATTGTAGATTGAGTAGTTATCCAAAAGTATGACTGGATTGCGGTTTTACATTTTTGAAATGCCCACCTATATTAACTTCCGCATCTAAGAACATTTATTTTCTCATGTGATGACCTCTTTAAAAGTGTCACCATTTATACCTGGGATGTACATGGGGGCCAGAGACTCTCTGAATTGGTGTGTTTTGGGGTCTTTAAAGGCCGTACGACACACTGTCACAACAGACTGATGTGTGCTGGGGCAATGCCTGGTCACAGCCACTGTGTCTTCATCCAGCTGATCCACGTAAACCTGAAACACAAATGATGAACAGATATAAAGACACAGATTCATGGTGACGTATGCACGTGATGAAAGGTGTAGGTTACGAGGAAAAAAAAAAACAATAGGTGTCAGTTCCACCAAACATAATAATCACTCATAATACTGATATAAATATGATTCATTTATAGTGGCTCCAAAAAAAAATAAAAATAAAAGATGTCTGAATATTTTAGAAATTGAGATTGTAAAACAAGGTGTTTTTTTTATATTAGAAATAAACACTTTAACTAGCAAAAAAAAAAAAGTAATACTTTACCTTTAGGTTGTATTACTTAATGCTAGTTAATGCATTTACTAACATGAACAAATGATAACAATACATGTGTACAGTATTTGTTCATATTAGTTAAAGTAGATACAATCTTTCATAGTTCTTGTTAACTCACTGTGCATTAACTAATGTTAAAGGGCACCTATGATGAAAATCATATTTGGAAGCTGTTTTTACAGAATTTTGTGTAGGTAAAGTGTGTCCACTGTCATATTGGAGTGATATTAACATAATAAGTCTCTTTTTTTTCTGATGTTATCGTGGTTTACACACCGAATTGATTGAAAGCCACTTAGTAATGTGTATAATCATATCAACAAGACAGGACGTGAGCAACGCAAATGGGAATAAAAGATCTGTGTTGAGCTTTCTGTGATCATCAATCTTTATCAAATGTGATCAAGAATGAGTTTTACAATTGCAAAAAGTTTACAATTTTTTTTTAGAACATTTGCAATGCAGTTAAGACAGTAAAATCAATTTAATTCATCACCACAGCCGCATGAAGAAAGAAAGAAAGAAAGAAAGAAAGAAAGAAGGAAGGAAGATGAAAGAAAGAAAAAAAAAGAAAGAAAGAAAGAAAGAAAGAAAGAAAGAAAGAAAGAAAGAAAGAAGGAAGGAAGACGAAAGAAAGAAAAAAAAGAAAGAAAGAAAGAAAGAAAGAAAGAAAGAAGGAAGGAAGGAAGGAAGAAGGAAGGAAGGAAGGAAGAATGAAGGAAGGAAGGAAGGAAGAAAGAAAGAAAGAAAGAAAGAAGGAAGGAAGGAAGGAAGGAAGGAAGAAAGAAAGAAAGAAAGAAAGAAAGAAAGAAGGAAGGAAGGAAGGAAGGAAGGAAGGAAGGAAGGAAGGAAGGAAGGAAGGAAGAATGAAGGAAGGAAGGAAGGAAGAAAGAAAGAAAGAAAGAAAGAAAGAAAGAAAGAAAGAAAGAAAGAAAGAAAAAGAAAGAAAGAAAGAAAGAAAGAAAGAAAGAAAGAAAGAAGGAAGGAAGAAAGAAAATAAGAAAGAAAGAAAGAAAGAAAGAAAGAAAGAAAGAAAGAAAGAAAGAAAGAAAGAAAGAAAAAGAAAGAAAAGAAAGAAGGGAAGAACGAAAGGAAGAAAGAAAAAAGAAAGAACGATTTGCTGTTGTTTGTAAATGCAGTTTATGCTCATGCAATCTCATTCTACATTTGTTTGACATCTGCAATGAATGAACATCATCCTTACCTGGGTGAAGCCGTTCTCTGCTAGCTCTTGGTGGAGTTTGTTGAGAGCCAGTTTTCCTGCCGTTATTCCAGAGTGTAAGTTCACCTCCCTGCCAGAAGAGGGCAGTGCATCAGGATTCCACTTGGGGTAGAGACGCTCTTCCTTCACAACTGAAATCTGAACAAAAGCTAAATTGGTTAGCTTTAATAATGGTAGACACTAAACATAGCAACTGCGTACACATAAACATAAAATTTAAAAAAAAATAAGAGACGCATACTGCAGCAGTTACCACAGCCCAATCATGGGCGCAATAGCATGTCTGTTATGGTAACTTAAAATATGTTTTACTAATGAACCTAATTTTAAAGGGTGGTATTGATAACATAATTTGGTTAAAATATTTGTCATTATTTGCAGTAACACCTATCCAAACATGGAAGCAGTACATACACAAACTACATACAAACATAAGCTTGTAAAGTTTTTATATAGCCTATTTCTAATTAAAAAATATGGAAAGTTGCAATTTACTAGTTTAATTTCCTTACATGGGCATTATGTTGTTAACATTAGGTTTAGTTCAACACACAGTTCAGATTTTTTATTATAATGTGTTAAAAAGTGTAATTTTGGGGGTGTGTACACAACTCGCTGTTTCAGGGACGTGTTGCTTCACATGAAAATTGATTTCGGCTTCCTGCCCATCGTAAGAAGGGGGCGGAGCCAAGAGCTCTCCCCGCTCTGTGTTTGCAACAGACAGGCAGACAGAGAGAAGTGACATGAGCGAGAGAACCAGCATTCAGCCGTACATGTACGACTCGGACACAGACCAAGCAGAGAGTATCAAAATCATCACATAAAGTGTCCCGAATCGTTGCGCTACGCAGCGCCATGTATTTTAGAATTCTAAACATAGGTTTCTATCAGGGTACACACAACGGCGCTTCAATACACTATACCTACACACGTCTGTCCTTACAGCTTGAAAAGAAAGTAGATTTTTCACCATAGGTGCCCTTTAAATGTAATGTTTCATGTAATAAATTAATGTTTATGTGCCTGACTTAACCTTAACAAACAAATCATAATATTACATTGGAATGTGATCCACTTACATTGTATTTACAGAATTTTTACAAACTACAATTTGTGACCCAGTGTGTGAAAACCAGGCCAAATCTAATTCTGAGATTAAGTTTGAATGTAGCCATTCATTCCACTGTGGTTTCAGTTGTTGACATAGTTTTACTCCGTTAAGAATACATACATAGGTTTTTATTATTTTTAGCATTATTTATCAATTAACCTAAATATTGTTACTAATGATTACACTGGTCAGTACCATGTCTGCTTTGGGAGAGACTTGGGGTACAAAGAACTGTCTGACTATGCTTTGATTTTTGTGAGCTCTTTCATTGCGGGAATGCTGCTCTCCGGAAGCATGTTGTTGCACGTCTACCAGATCCGCAAGAGCCACAGAACGCTCTCTGATAAATTGTGAAGCCAGGTATCTGTTTCCTCCCACTCTCTGCGATACTTTTGCAGTCAATTTTTAAACTCTGAAACTTTCAGATGGAGGTGTAACCTGGAGAAGCATCTGCCATTACTCTCTGTCAAGACTTGACAGACTCCGCCTAAAAGACCCGCCCTGCTCACTGGACAAAGACCAATCAAACTATCGATGACATCAAGAATTACCCAATGAAAAGTAGGAAATGAGGCATCTTTATAAAATGCGTGTGGGATGATTTGTATGAAAAGCTACTTAAAAAAAATGTCAAAACCCGTCCCGTATTGAGTCAAAACAGAATGCGCAATTACTTTCTCAAATACGGGACGATTCTGTATTTTAAGCGACGGGTGGCGATCCTAGTTGGTGCCCCCGTAAAAATCGTCAGTGGCTCGAACCAGCGACCTTCTTGCTTTGAGACGACAGCACTACCTACTGCGCCACTGCATCACCGACTGACATTCTGTTAAGACTAATGTTTTGTTTATCGTTTTAAAAAATCTATTGGTAAAAGAGCTTGTATGTTTAAAGGTCAAAAAGATTGAAACAATTTACCTGCTAACATTTGATCCATTACATCATTTAAGGTTTTTAAGCAAATTTTGCTATCATATTTTACTTTGGGTTGTAGTTGTTTTTTTATGTTTTTAAATATATATATACAGTTGAAGTCAAAATTATTAGCCCCCCTTTGAGTTTTAATTACTATTATAATAAATTACTATATAATGCAGTAATTTATAGTAGTACATACTAAATTACTATATTTTCAAGCACATCATCAGAAATTAAGTTAATGCATCTTAACATGCTACTTCTCAAGGTATGGTCAAGAGGAATTAGACGTCATTATTGGACACAATAATGACAAAGTAATGTCCTTAGACGCTGGCTATACTTTCATTTTAATCACCTGACATCACAACCTAAATCTTACCTAACTTTAATGTCTTGTGTGCCTCCAGGACAATAACTGAATTCACTACAGACTGTAACGTTTACACACATCCACATATTACATGTAAATGCATGAGCTTTTTACAGCGCAATACTAACTACTCACGAGTACTTGTGAAAGGTCTACTTTTTATTTATACTTTGAGTAATATTTACAACAGATACTGTTACTCTACTTGCACTACAATTTTAGGCAAGTAATGGTACCTTTACTTGAGTGTAATTTTTCTGTACTCATTCCACCACTGGTACCAACTATGTTTAAGAATGTAATTTCAGGACAAACCACAGGTATACCCTAAAGGCAGATACCCTTGGCAAAAAAAGGGAAACCTTTTGTCACGGATGAAAGGGAAAAAAAAAAACAATAACATGAAAGCGTTTGTTTTTGTGAAAATACTGACCCAGATATTTATAAGAACTCTGTGCAAGTTAGAGGATTAGCAAACATGTCTAGAGGGATTTTCATTGAGGTGCTGCACTGAGGTGACAGAACAAAGGATGCTGATTACATTCATTGAATAGATGTAAATGATATTTGTAAATGCCTTCTTAAATTACATCAAGAATGAAGAGGATAAAGAGCAAGTAATGTAATATGTTGTTTATGTTATGCGAATTGAAGCTGAAGACTAAAAAAATGTCAAAAGTTTGTTATGGTTTCAAATATCCCAATTAAGGGGTTTTAGGAGAAAGAACTGGATACAATTATTGATTTAGAGACTGTCTGGGAGAATTGTTTTGTAACTTCAAAAACCCCAGCTCATCAATTAATTCATTATAAATAATTTTTATGGCTTATGCTACCCCTACCTGTTATTTAAAATGAAAAGATATTCAGACCCTTTTTGTCACTTATGCAACAACTCTATAAGTTGTTTGTTTGTTATAAGTATGTTCTGGGAATGTCCCCAAATTGCATTATTCTGGTCCAAGGTACGAGACCTACTATCCGAGTTAATGGAAACTCAGATCCAATGCGACCCATTGCTTTTTCTCATGCAGAATGATTTATCACTCTCCTTATCCATCAACCAAAGAAGGGTTCTGTCAGTTGTTCTGACTGCTGAAAAACAAAAAACAATCCTGAAAATATGGATGGATCCATCTGCTTCGGTTGATTTATTGTTGATTTACTCTATCTACTTCACATTATCAGTTTGGAGAACACCACAGCCAAAATAAATGGTGCCAGTAAAAAAAAAAAAAAAGTACAGTTTTGGTTAAATATGAGCGAGACTGTATCAGATCTGTTTTAATCCTGATTTTGTACCTATTATTACAGTACTACTGTTTTTATTTTATTTTACTTTTTTGTTGTTGAGTAAATCTCAGGCCTTGCTCAAAATCAAAATGCTCAATAAAAAAAAAAAAAAATTAACAAAAAAAAGTTTGGGGTGGTCACGTTTATTTTTTAATTTTCACAGTCTTTTGACTTTTGATAATACACTGTAAATATTATTATTGTGAATTTACAATAAAAGTTAATACAGCTGTTTCTGTTAATATTTTAAAATGACCACGATACATTTTTTCAGGATTCTTTTCTTTTTCTGGATTCCTTGTGAAAATAAATCGTTTTAACATTATAATAGTCTTTTCTTCCACTTTAGATCTATTCAGTGCAAATTTAAACTTTAGTAATGACCTTATTCTTTCATGCAAGAGCATGTATGGCCATTGTAACCTAATTGTGTTGAGAATTCTGGTCTCATTCGTTTCCATTCATTTTTAGCCATAAAAACAGGCTGTTAATGCTACCTGATGCACCAAACTGATATTTTCTTATTATATTATTTAACTGTTCATGTATGTCATGAACACACTGCAAGCACTTTGACTATTTACTGCCACTTGTTAGTCATTTCCCCTATAGCCAAAGAAATCAGAAGTCCTAAAACAATCACAGTAAAGAGCTTACTTCCACATTGCTAAATAAGTTGAATATATAATGTCACAAAAAAACAGGATGAAGTAAGACAATGGTTATGATCTGTCAATTACTAAGCAATGAAGTGACCTTAGGTCTCCTTCAGTTTATTTTGGATCATGACACATTGAGTCATGGTCACCCGTGTGTTAATTATACAATAACTATTGAACTTTTTAAAATAATGATAGTTTGTGTAATACACATGAAAGCTTCAATGAATCACATTCATATATTTAATTTAATTACAAAACATACATAAGTTTTTATTGTTTAGTGGAAAGATTTATGAATGTTTTGACCTACAGTAACGTAGCCCATGTGATGTGTTATTTGCTTAGCCCATCTGAAGGACTATTTCAACAGATGTGATTCTCAAAGACTACCTATTTCCTCGAAATTCAAGCCTGAATTTCGGATAAAAATTAAATCCCATTTTTACCTGGTGAGGGACGAGCTCATCATATCCTCTAGTGCTGCCTGAGGCGCAGCAGGCCATAGAGACAATAGCAGAGCTGGGCAGAGCATCATATGCTGAACGAACCTACAAGACAACAATTAGACCTTTCATATTAAAAAAATGCATTGCCAATATGTTTATGCTCTTTGTCTTTAAAGGTCTTGCTGACCTGAATGGGACACTCGTTGTCATGAGTGACGTCCAGAAACATGGCGTGAGCAATTGACGGTTCTAACGGCCTGAGGTTTGGCTGGATGAATGACCCAACAGGCTCTCCTCCGAACCGATAGACCAGTCGACCCTCCTCATGACTGTCTCCAGCACTCATAGCCTCTGGCGAACAACATATCTCCTCAGTAAATGGTATAAAAAAAGTCAAACTTTACATGGCTGGGTTTGTGATGCTATATTATTATTTTTGGATACCAATATAGACAATTTTTATACTTTTACTTTGTTATAAGTCTTAGTCAGTCTCTTTGTGAACTGTTGACCTACAGTTGCAATCAGAATTATATAGCCCTGCTTTGATTTTTTTTCTTTTTTTAAATTTTCACAGCATGTCTGATACTATTTTTTTCTGATTCTTATTTCTGAAGTCTTATTATTTTATTTCAGCTAGAATAAAAGCAGATTTAATTTTTA